TCGTAAATTACATTGATACATTGCGAGATTCGAACTCATGACTGAAGAAACCCACGGACATCATATCAGGTGAAAGAACTATGTATATATAGTTAGTTTTCCTGACTTTACAACTAGATACTAACAAGTTTTATTCATTATGAGAAAAAAATATTACTATGCATCGTACGGTAGATTCCGATAGAAATATAAGTATGCTTGATGCTAACCGCTGGTTAAGGGGAGGCCAGTAGGAAAATACTTTTCTATTCCAAACAGAATACTTTAACGAAAAACTGATATTGCTTCTTCAAGTATTAAAGTTATTTGCATTAGAGCATTTTGTTTGAAAAAATTGGACAGAAATATTTAATGTGTTTTTTACGGCGATAGAATTAAGTTTACGTTCAACTCACCAGGGAAGAACAGGTTGACTCTAATGGGACGCTCTAATTCCGGTCTTGTGTACCGAAGTACCGGCAGACACAGCACGGCCGCGCCGATACTTAGCTGAAAATATTTATTACATGAGGTTTTTAAGATAACTGAAATGTACATTTTAAAGTGAAATAATAAAGCATTTCTTTATTTATTAAACGAATGTAACTAGCTAGTCTATAGACAGCCTAGTGATAAATAATAATTAATAAGGGAGTGATCACTATGACAGCTGTCAATGTCATTCAGACGTATTGGAATAGTACGCCATTTCCGGCAGAGTGGTCGGAGTGTTAATTACGCTTTGACAATAATATGAATGTGTAAATACGTACCCAAGTAGCGAATCCTACGTAGTTGATAAGTGCGTATATATCAGAGACAGTGAGGTAGAGCAGCGAGAGCAGCGCGACGGCGAGCACGGCGTGCGCCGGCGTGGCGCGCGCCGACACCATGGTGAGGGCGCTCGGCATCTGCCCCTGAGCCGCGCCCGCGTAGAACAACCTGATATAACGACATATTGATCGATAATAGATTCTCAATGTTGTGAGAATGATACGAGTTTCAACTACATTATCAACGACTTACAAAGAATAATATTATTTAAGTCGCGAGAAAATGCTAGTACACAATATAATTAAACTGTTATGATAATAGTTAAGAAAGTGGTCAAATATTGTATTTAAAATAACCTGGAAGATGTAAGGAGCACGCCATTAACAGCACCGAACGTTGATGCGGCGACGAACAACGGGATGCAGAGCGCGAACCAACCGAACAAACGTTCGGCGAACGTCACCGCCACGGCTGCTGACCCTAACACCTGGATGTAAATAATAACATAAGAAAAAAAAGCATAAGTTTAACAGTATTTGAGTAACCGAATAAATGAAAGTATCCAAGTATTTTAATATCAAAATTTTTCTCAAGAATTTGGCGGCTTTTAGTCGGTTTTTTTTAACTCAAAAAATACTGAATAGATTTTGATTGTGAAAATAGCAGGACCAAATGGCATTAATCCCTCGTCAAAAGAAAAAAGAATTACATAAATTGGATCATAAATCTCAAAGTAATCGATGTACATATATAGAATTTGAAACCATCTTCTTTTTAAAGTCGGTCGTTACTTTAACCATCAAATTACAGTTAAAATTGATTTATTTAAGTTATCTGCGGTTCACACTTGGCCAGTATAGTTTGTCAATAACACCCAACAATTGTCAATCAACTGGAACAGTGCAACTGTCTCCAGTAGGTCCATACAATCTATGACTGTCCATCACAATTGTTGAACTGTACTGGCCAAGTGTTAACAGCGCATTATTATCTCGAAGTCTATGTCTGTTACCTCAGAAGGTGAGAGAGTAGTGTAGAAGGCAACATTCGTGAACGTATAGACGATGGTCACGAGTGCGACAGAGATGGCGATAGCTCGGGGCAAGTTCTTCACCGGGTCCTTTAGCTCTTCGATGATGAAATTCAGGTAGTTCCTAAAATATAACGCATAATGAAATCAAGGAAAACTTTGCTGGTATGTCTAGGCTTTTTATTGTAACAAAATTAATATTTATTAATATAAATTACTATGTCTCAAGTTCCTAGTTTATACAACACATGTAAAGCATATCTATCACATGAAAAAAAAATGTAAACTACCCAACGAGAATGTGCAGGGTTATCATAAACCGAAAAGAAGACGATATTGTATTGTATTTGTAATAAATAAAAAATAAAATAATTAGTAAGTAATAGAAATTCTTAAATTTGCCTTCGGACTAGCGTACGTTATGTTGATGTTAGTAATATTTTTTATTATAACTATGGGACCAATATATTAAAATAAAAATTTTCAATTTAAATGAATCTGCTTACCATCCATTATATGCGAATAATCCAGAATAGAAAGAGAGAGCGATAGATGTGACGTCATTCGTAGTACCTTCAAACGTGAAGTGTTCCACTTTTCCTATAAATAAATACAAAATGTTAAAAAATTAATAAAAACAAGTACAAAAAATTTCTTGTCCAAAACATGAACAATGCATAGAATTTAAATATACCTACAAAACTAATTTTGTCATTTTTGTGCATTTCTTATTTTCCCGGTGCAATTGTGACATTGCATTCTGGCAACACTATCTTTTCTCCCCAATTCCACGAATCATCAATTTAAAATATTTTCTTAACTGTAACTCGCTTACTTTATATTGTTTTTGTACAAAACACGATTAGACAATAAAATTGCTAATAACCTAAAAAAGGATAATAAAAAACTAAGTGTGTGCACAGTTTAGTATTCTTGTCAACAAAGTTTTCAACTCTTACACCAAAATATGTAGATGTTGTATTTCCACTAAGTGTAACCCTAAGTGCAGATTTAGTATAAAAACTACACTTACTGATGAGTGCGTAAATAAATATAACAAAAATACTGATCGATAACCATTCATTTTATTTAAAAACTTCATTCTTTTTTCCCTATCAAGGATTCAAGGAATTCACGAGATTGCAAACACAAGTTTAACCGGTCTGTTGTATCGTGAATGATTGATCATTGAACGGGTCACTTTCATTCGTTCAGTCACCTCTCCGGTCATGGTCTATGAACGAGGTCGTCTGACGAAATCTATAACTTCGTTTAGTCTAATATCAATTGTCAAAACCCAATCTATTTCACGTAACAAGAAATAAAAATGCATTTGTGATATTCGAAATATTTGTTAAAAATAATTTAATTTGTTATAATTTCGAATTGTGAATCCATTATACATATAATAAAATTGGTGTGTCTGTCATATCAAAAGAAAAATTCCAGATTTCGGGAAAATGGTGTATTTGCGTTGGTAATGAAAAACGCATTTAATTTTTTTTTATCTGTCTGTCCGCAAGCCGCGTTTGTTCCGGGTAATCTAAGAAACGGCTGCCGATTTCGACCAGAGTTTCACTGAAGGGTAGCTGACATAACGGGCATATTCTACGTAACTTTATATACTACATTTTTTAGCAACAGCTAGTAGTATAATAAAATAAGGAAGCAAGGGAATTTTATAACAAAACAACCTAAGGACGAATATTTATCTCTGACAGTCAACTAAATATGTCAGTGATAAAATTCTTACATTTACTACAATGTCTATTAAAATATTTTTATTATCAATCTGTAATTATTATTGCATCATGTTTTTATTATAAATATAATTGTATTACAGATCTAATTTCGATGTATGTTTATTTTTAATTAGTTGATATCGGTCGTATTATCGTAGAGCCCTGGCATTGGTCGATGTAAAGAAAGAGTCGTCGTCGTGAATTGAAATTTGAATAAAAAAATATAATAAAAAAAAACATACAAACGAATTGAGTACCTCCCTCTTTCGGGAAGTCGGTCAAAAAGTAAGAAATATCATTCAACACATGCGGTAACGACTAATTTCTAAAGGGTTTTTAAACAATGTTGTTTTCTTCAAATAAGCTTTGTAAAGCCTGGAATATTCCGTAACACATAAGAAAGTCAATAAAACGATACTTTAATAGTATTGTTACAAAATTACTGTCATCGCGTCTTTGAAAATAAACTCAATTTAAACTTCCTCGGTAATATTAGGTTGTACACATACCTTATTCTGGTTGAATGAAAAGTAGGTATGTATTAAAAATCGAATTAACAAGAC